AAACTCCCCACCGGGTGACAAACACAACTCCAGCTGTTTTCCCCACACAAAAATAAATGCAGTCATCTTCTGCAAAATCATAAAACAAAGTAAGTTCATAAACCAAAATAACACTGTAATGTGCTTGCATTCCATTCCCATGGAAAACTGTCTTTTGTGAAACTGGTCCCTGGTGCTGAAATGTTTGGAGACCTCTGGTTTATGTGGTCTAATGTTCATAGTTTTAAGAAATGCTAAAAATGTTGTCAGATGTGGTGGCACATGCCTGTAATCCTGGCACTTGGGATGCTGAGGCAGGAGGATTGCCATGAGTTTGAGATCAGCCCAGATTACATAGCGAGCTCACGGTCAATTTAAACTACACAGGGAAATCCTGTCTCAAAAACAAAAACAAAACAAAACAAAATGCTAAAAATGCTTGCTGGCTTCTCTGCGATATAAAAATTGCTACTGTTTTTCTCTATTTTCTTTTATCAGACATTGTTTAGGGAAATTACATCTTAGAATTTTAGATTGTGCTTAAACAACTGTTCTGTTCTCTTTTAATAGTTTTGTTACATAATTCTGTTTAAATAAACTGTTACTGTATGCAGTTTGCTTTAATCTTTAAAAGTAATTGTCCTGGTGTAACAGAGTCAATCATAATTGTTGTCTTAATACACAGTAAAACTAAATTGTTTTTGCAAAATTGCTACCTTGTGTATTGCACATAGTCATATAGCTGGAAATACAGTAGCTATCTTCTTAGTGAAAAAGTTTTCCTTTAGAGATAGTCCTTCTTCTGTTTCTAGGGCTAGGTCAATGAAGTTGAGGAATTGTGTATAGTATTTACAGTACAATATTCAGAACAAAGAAATGGCCAAAGAAAATTCCAACTTGGATTTGCACAACTTTTTTTTTTTTTTTGGTCTTTCTGAGACAAGGTCTTGCTATGTAGTTCAGACTGGCCTTGAGCTCACTTTGTAGCCCAGGCTGGTCTCAAACTCGCAACAATCCTCCTGTCCCAGCCTCCCAAATTCTGGGATTAGAGGTGGCTATGGGCACAACTCTTATACACAGTGCTGTAATGTACAACAGAACATAAGTCAGTAAGCAGACAGGTCATTAAACGAGGAATGGTTGTATTACAAAAACATGTTCTTAACTGGTAAGTTAGCATTAATCCTTGCCCTGTGTTCAAATTTTTTTCAGTTCTATTTATCTAAAAAAATTCTAAACTTTGGTGTAATTACTAAACTCTAATTCTAGGTTTTGGCATAAATAACGGGTTTTCTCACCAAATAGCATTTCACACTGGTTTGCAGGAGAAGGGCAACTCTAAATACAGGCTTAGCGTACCTTTCTGACAAAACCAAACTTGTTTCCATTGGACAAGTTGGTTTTCTTTGACTGACTCGGTTACTATGTGTCTTAGCACAGCCAGGATTTGCTTTGGTCTCCTTAGTTTGTTTTTCTGTTTCCTGGTCAACTTTGTAACTATTGACTGTCAAAGTTTAAAGATTAGGGGACTGAATGTTTTCTACCCAGTAGATGAGAATTTACTTGGCAATGGACTCTAGATAAATTTGGCCTAAGAGCTACTGTTTCTCAATCTGTTGTTGCTCAAAACAGTTAAACAGGGTTTTGTTTGTTTTTAACCACAACTTGAGCTGTCTGTCCCATCTCCCCCAACATGGCACCTGTTCTTTTCTTTTCTTTTCTTTTTTTTTTTTTTTGTCTTTTTCTTTTTTATCGGTACAGGGGATTGAACTCACGACCACACACTTGCAAGGCAGATGCTTATGCCACTGAGCTAAATCCCCAGCCCCTAGCACCTCTTCTTTTCACAAAACATGGTCTGATGGTCTACCACACCCCCTGCCACCCCACATCATTGTAGTCAGGTTTACAGGGGAAAAGATTTTAATACAGGACATATAATTTTTAGGGTTATTTTATAATATTCACTCAAAGAATGCAATGCAGAAGAGTACAAGTGATCTGTCCTCACACTGGAGACCTAAAAACCCTTCTGAGGGCCTAGATCCCACAGCAATGTCCCATAGGAGTCCAGTAGAAGACCTAGAGCCCATGGCAATGCCCTCCAGAGGTCCAGCTGGAGACCTACAGCCCTCCCACAATGTCTCATGCAAGTCTATCAAGGATCTGCACCTGGAAGACCCAAAAGCCAGTAGGGGCAGCTAGAAAATCAGAGAGAGCTGGGTGAAGGATCTGTGCCAGCAGGCTGAGTGATTCTGCACTGGAGCCAGAAAACAACACTTGAGGTAAGGACCAGCGCTTTCCCAAAAAAGAACTGCAGCCATCCTCAGTGACATCAAGGACCCAAGCTCCTGCCGTGAGACCAGCCAAGTTTGTATCAGGAAAACCTGCCAAGATGCCAAGCTCCTCCAGGGGAATCAGTAGCACACCATCTTCCACTCTAGGTCTGCTTTTATGCTGTTGGTAACAATCCTCAGGTGGCTTTCCACACCTAGAATCCCCCTCAGTTCAGATTGGTGTTACAATTTGACCATTAGTTAATCCACTGCACACTCAAAGGATAGGTTGTAGGTCTGCTGATGCCACAGGAAAGCATTGTAGAATGAGAGTCCTCAAAGGGTTTAGTAGTCACAGCCAAAGTAGTATACACTCAGAAGCAGTGGAGTACAAACCCTCAAGAGAGTCATGCTGTTGGGCCAGGTGTGGTGGCGCATGTCTGTAATCTTGGGAGGCTGAGGTAGGAGGATGTTGTAAGTTCAAGACCATCCTGGGTGGCAAAGTGGGCTCAAGGCCAGCCTGAACTGCATAGTGAGACCCTGTTTCAAAAAGATGAGGAAGAGAGAGAGAGAAAGAGAGAGAATCATGCTGTTGTCAGGGGTTGGGCGTTTTTATTCTGGAGGTAGGCACTCTGGGGTGTGCAAGTCACCCACTTGTGGGCAAGGTTAGAAGGCAGCTGGGTGCATGAGTGTGAAGTTTAGAGATGCTGCACACCCCGCTCCCCCAGCATAGCTTCCTTGAGGCTGGGAATCTAAGCAGAAAGAGGTTCAAGTAATGACTGAAAAGCATAGGCCCAATTCACAGGCTTATCATATCATCAAGACCCTTAAATAATTTTTTTTGGAAGGAAAAAAATAGGCACTTTAATCTCAGGTTACTTTGTGTCCTGAAGCCACAGTTTTTCTTAAAAACACAATATTAAAATTATTTCATTTGCCCCTTCTTTCTCCCCACCCACACCCGGCTTGAACTCACGGCCTTTTGCACTGAGCTACATTCCCAACGCCAAACCTTTTTACTTTTTAAATTTTCAGGCAAGGTCTCTCACTAAGTTGCTAAATTGTTCAACCTTATCTTTTTCTACATCTCTTTATGTCTTTGGTCCTACCCTATTCTTGGTATCTCAGCACCAAGGAGGAAAAATATATCCAGAGCATCAAAATGAGTCACCTTTGTCAATCCTAGCAAGTAATAAAGCACCACAGAGGTTCTAAGAGAAGGGTTTGCATGCATGATTGCCTAAAGCAAAAAACCTTGCCAGCAGGAGGTTAGCTATCTCCTGACTTTGGTTTGGGGCCCACCATCTTTAATGGTGCTCTGTTCAGCTTTAAACATCTGCCTTCCTTCCTTGTGCCTAGCTGCCTTTTGATGGAATCCACACACCAATCAATTAATAGCTAGTCAGATGACACAGTGTCTGGAGGCCTTCAGCATCAAGGCCTGGACTAAACTGAAGCAGGGACCATAATCTACAGAATAAAATAACTCTTCAAAAAGCAGAATTTTTTTTTTTTTTTTTTTTTTTTTTTTTTTGTCTTTTATAAATAGGATGCTACCCAGGCCTGTAATCCTGGCATTGGGGAGGCTGAAGCAGGAGGATTGTTAGGAGGTTGAGGCCAGCCTGAACTACAGGAGACCTTGTCTCAAAACAAGAAATAGGCTGCTCCTCTAACTTTCCCGTGCTGAATGTAACCCCCACAGACACCCCAACTCAATGGGGCCTGACAACAAAGTGGATTCTACACCTTTAGGCCTCTGGGCCAAAGCTTGGTTACATCTACACACGTACTCTTGCAGGCTTTTGTTTACCCCTCTCTAAATTCAAGTGCGTCTGTGCATCGGGGTGGGAGTGGTGGGCAAGAGAGCTGTGCTTCCCAATTTGGCCAAATTGTAAATCAACTAACGTTTCCATTTTCCTGGGCTTTTCCTCATTCTTGATAGCGAGCTGGTGGACTAATGCACCAGTAACCCCGCCGGCACCGACGGGAGCGCTGAAGTACTCTCCTCCCGAAGTACACAAATGGGGATTGGTGGCTACAGAAATTCCAAATGTTGAAGCAAACCTGGGGTAAAAATCAAGGGTTTCCTTAATCGGGACACCTAAATCGTGACTCTGCAAAGAGCTCTGTAAAGCTGTAATTTGGGGGAGTAAACGTAAGAGGCACGTGCATTTTACAAACTCCGACCTTCAGAAAGCTCTAGAACACCCGGCGGTTCCCCAGCCAAACTCCGCGGGGGTCCCGGCAGGCGCCTGTCCCTTTAAGAATCCGGTCGAAGTCCTTTTCCTCTGCCGCCCCACCTCCCCGCGCTACCGGCTTGGCCCGAGCGCCCACCCCTTTCTCCTCCTGCGGCTGCACTACGGGTTTGACGGCCCATCCGTCACAGAAGCGCCGCCTCTGATTGGCTGCTCGGGCTTCGGGCCGGGGGGTGGGACGGAAAGGCCGGAGAAACTAGTTTGTTGGCGGCGCCTCGGCGGGTCGGCGTCGGGAGCGCGTCCGGGCTGAGGGCAGCCGGCTGAGGAGCGGCGGCGGCGGCGGCGGGCAGCAGAGACCTCGCGGGGGCGGCCGGGGCGACCCGGGCTTTGTGAGCGCGGCGGGCGGCGGCGCCCCGAGCGGTGAGTGCCCGGGCGGCCGGGGGCGCCGAGCCGGGTCCCCGCGGACTTGTCACCCTCCGGACGGCGCCCGGGCCGCTGACGGGGCCGGGTCGGGGACGTGGGGGCCGGCGGCCCGCCCCACCGGGGTCCCCGCCTGGCGCGCGCCGGTCCCCGCGCGGCGAATGAATTGTTCTGCAAATGGATGGTGCGCGCGGGAGCCCTGCGCCTCCCCCGGGAGCGGTTGATTCATTGAGTCCGCGGACTCTTTAAAAAATTACTATTGATCCTAGAAAGACGAGGCTGAGCCAGGAGCGAGGTCCCCGCGCCCTGGACGCCGAGGCTTCGAGCTCGACGCGGGCGACGTCTGCACCGTCCTAGCCCGCTCTGCCCTTCCTGGCCCGGGCTCCCCCTCACCCCCCGACCACCGGGCAGCCGGGAGAAAGGGGTCGCACGCCCGGGTCACTCCCACTGCCCGCCCGAGCCGGACACCTGCGGGCCCAGCCTGGCTCTCACTCCCCTCCCCGAGTCCTGCCCTGGCCCGGACCCCGGCGACGCTGGCATCTCCTGCCCCGCCTGTTCTCCCGTGTGGCATCTTTGAGGGTGGTGTTCTCGGGGGAGCAGCTAGACACATCACTGTGCTGCTGCTTCTCAGGGATCCGGGCGTTCTTTACCATTGTCTCCCCTTCTATTCCGTACCGGAGGCCTTCGCATTGAGCTACATCTCCAATACTGTTTTATTTTGAGACAGGAACTTAGTAAATTGCCCAAATTGGCCTTGAAGTTGTAATCCTCCTGCTTCAGCTTTTCAGAGTGCTGACTTTACAGGCATATGGCACCAGAATATTCGAGCAAAAAAGAATTTATAGAGAGCGGACCAGAGGAACAGGGGCATGGGTGGACTCTAGGCCCCTTTGGGTTTAATCTGGACATTGCTGGTTCCTGCAGGTACCCCATCCTTGCCCCCTGGGAAGGCACGCTAGGCTGTGGTGAGTCAGGGCAGAGGAGGCCAGGTACCTGCCTTAGATTTCATCCTGTCCTGGTGGTGAGACTAGGAAGAGGGGAACTTGCCAGTGGCACAAGGACCAAGCAGGTTCTGACACAGAAGTGATGCCCTCTAAGTGTGCCGTTGGAATTTCCGGGGGCTTTGGGGATGCGTGGCTTTTGGGGGCCAGGAAGGAGTAGGACACAAGGTCTTGCCCTTCCTTGGTCCTTGCGTTCAGCTGCTGTGCCTGCAAAGGCTGCTGGTGTTCTCCCAGTCATTTCACTTTTGAGTGGTTGTCAGGAAGTGACTCCAGGGAGGATGCTAAAGAAAAAGTGGGGAGAAACTGGAAGAATCCTTCCTCCTGGGTCGAGCCTGCGGCTGGGTGTGGTGCTGAGAGGGGGGCTGTGGACGGTTGTGTGCTCTGCATTGGTAGCAGCGGCTGCAGCCCATTTAGCCTTAATGGTATCTTAAACCTGCGGGCTGCAGGCAGGAAGGAGGGATGCCTGCGTGGGGGCTGCGTCCGCCCTGAAAGCAGGCTCTGTGCTTCCCATCTGTCAGGCTAGGGAGGTGGACAGTTTAGGGTGAGGGACTGTGTTACTCAGGGGCTGGCTGTAATTCAGTGGCATTCTCTGATTAGTTCGTTCATTGTCTGAGCTGACTTTGGCCGAGAACCCTGAGTTCAGAGATCTCCTTGAGAGAGGTGTTGGCATAGGGATTCGAGACCCTCATGTGAGCGGGCAGAGAGCACCAGGGATACAGGTGGCGATGGGAGCTGAGGAAACACAGAGAAGGGCACAGGTAGGTTAAGGGCTCTGGACTAAGAAGCTGAGAAAGCCATAGCACAGCCGGGATCCCAGGCCTCAGGCAGCCGCCTTTCCTCCTGCCACCCACACCTCTCCCAGGGCTGTCTCAGGTGGATGGCGGCTCCAGGCACAGGTGAGGTCCAGGGAAATGCAGGGGAGGGTGACTGGGAGGTGTGTGCCCAGCCGAGGAGGTGGTCTAGCCTGTGCCACCTGTCCATATTTGCAGGAGGCTGGATGGCTTCTGAATGCAGCCTCTATTCACAGGGGCCCCTGGGAGAGCCCACCTGCTGATGCCAAGACTGTGCCATTTTTTGCCTGAGCCCTTCCTCCCTCTGTATCAACCAGCAATGTGGGTGTAGCCTGGCAGGGGTGAGGTTGGGTGGGGCAGAGCTGGCACAAGCTGCAGAGTGGCCAGACACAAATGAATTGGCTGATTGAGCTGCTGGTTTTCATCTAATGTGGTAAATTTCATAATTGAATTGCCTCAGCTGCTCGAGGCGTTGAAGCATTTTCCCAGCCAGGAAACACTTATTTGGGACAAGTGGGGTGAGGGGTCAGGAAGAGGGAACTCTGAATCCTCCTGGTGGAGGAAGTCAGCCCCCCTGCCGCTGGTCTCAGCGATCACCTCCTCCCTGAGCAGCTCTGTCCTCAGAGCAGTTCTGAAGGCCACTGGAGCTGAGGCAGGTTGGCTTCTAGCTGTCACCAGACCCCTAGTCTGACTCCAGGTCCCTCGAGACATTAGGGGCTGGGAGCAGATGCCAGGGATTCGAGGGGCAGAGAGGGGCCCTGGGATGAGAAAGGCTCCTTGTTAAGTCCCTGCAGCACTGGCTCGAGAAGGAACTTAAGTTTTGGACCCAGACTGGGGCTCAAGTGCTGCTTGTGGCCTGTGACGGAATTCCTCAATCCCACTGAGGCTCACTGGTCATTTGGGGGCATCACGAAGATGAAGTGCCTTATGGAGTGGTGTCTGACCCTAAGTGGGTCATGCCCAGCCCCTCTTCCTTTGCGCCTTCCCTTGTCCTTTGGGAATTTGAGTCTCTTGCCGGCTTGGGGTCTTCTCCTGGATCCCCCACCATGTCTTACCCCACTTCTCCCTCGCCACCTCTTTTTACTGAGCCTTCTGTCCAAGCCCTGTCTAGGTGCTCTTTGGGATTACAGAGGATGGGCACGCTCATGTGGCTTCTTGATCTGTTTTTTTTAAAGTGGCAGCTCTGTGGTCTTGGGACGCCGACTAACTTGGAAAATTGTACCATATTTTCTGCAAACACATACGTAAAAATCTTGCCAGCCATTCATTTTTATTTTTATTTTCCAATGCTACTGGAGTTTGAATCCAGGGCCTGCATGCTGAGCTACATTCCCAGCCCTTTGTGTATCTTTGTTTCTTAAATTTTTTTTTTGAGACAGAGTCTCACTGAGTTGCTAAATTTCCCAGGCTGGGCTTGAATTCGCAGTTGTCCTGTCTCAGCTTCCTAGAGTGCTGACATTCCAGGCATGAGCCACCATACCCTGCTTCCCCAGCCATGCTTTCCTCCCACAATGATCTCCCACAGCCCGAGTTGGGCACAGAGCGCGAGGCTAGCACGTGCCAGAGTGCAGCCGAATTCTGAGGCCGAGGCCACCTCACACCATCCTGAAGTTGATTCCTGAGACCTGCAGCTGTTGGCAGAAAGAGCCGTTGCTGGTGGAAGCCCTGCGTGCCCTGCGCCTGCCTGGCCGTGTGGCTGTGCAGGTCCTGAGGCTGCTGTTCGTGGGGCCTGTACCCAGTGTTCACAGTGACACCTCAGCGCTTCTCCCAGGCTCTGCTCTTGTGCCCTTGACCCTTGTGGGGTCAGGAAGCAGTCTGTGGGGTGCGGGACAGTGAAGTCAGGAGTTGGGTGGACTCTAGGTCCCCCTGTTATTTTTCTGGATGGGCCCTCATTTCCCCACCTCTAGGAGGAGCGGGGTGCAGTAGGCTCCAGCTTCCTCCCTTCCCTTGGTGAGCAGAGACGAGGCAGATTTTCCCAGTGACTCCAGAGGCTCCAAGCCTCCCTCAGGTCCCTGACCCTGGCCTCAGAGTCAGACCCAGTGTGCCCAAAGCTGAGGGGCAGTAAGCTAGAGGACTGGGCCAGGGAGGTACTGGTCTGGGCCCAGGAGGAACGGACTTGGGCTGGAAGAATGGTGGCTTGTGGCTGACTCACTTCCCAAGGTGTCTGACTGGGCAGCCAGTGGGGGAGCACCCAGCCCCCACCCCGCTCCGAGTGGATGGTGTGAGACTCGGCCTGCGGGATGTCCCCTGGGCACAGAGCCCGGGCCACCTCCTAGAAGAGAGATAGAGAAATGGACAAAGCACCCAGGAACAAGAGGGATGGGGGAGTGGTGCTGAGCCCCAGGCTTTTGCCAGGAGCCTCCTGCAGGACCAGTTGGATGGGTTTCCCTGCTGATCAGGCCTGTCTTGCTCACCTGAGACCTCATTCACCTTGGGTGTCATCTGTCACCCACCTCTGCTGTGTGGCCAGAAGTATGAATGGAGAGGAGGAAAACGCACCTGGTTATTTTTTGCCTGTTCCTGTTTGGTCCCCAGGGGTGCTACTGACCGCTGATCAATCTAGGTTGAGTAAAATTAATTTCCTAATTAAGACAAGAGAAGCCTTCCATGTCCAGACCCCAAGATGAGCTTCCTACGAGCTCTGTAGTTGGCCAGATCTGTTTGGGCAGGAGTAGGGACCAGGAGCTCTTTTCCTAGAAAGCAAGCAGTACACACCCAGGGCCCAAGTACACTCTGGCTAGGCTCTGGGGGCAGAGCATCTGCTGTGAATTCCTAGCCTCAGAAATCTGAGGAAGAAATGTATCTAGCGCCCTTGATGCACCAAACACTTATTTATTGCCTTCTGAATGGCCTGCCTTGGACTTGACCGTGGAAAAGGAAAGGTCGGGCACTGAAAGGGGCCCTAGTGGGGTATACATGCCTGTAATCTCAGCACCCTGGGAGGATCCCGAGTTCAAGCCCAGCCTAGACAACTTAGGGAGTACCTATTTCAGGATTGCACATCCAGCACTCAGGAGGCTGAGGCAGGAGTATCACTGCAAATTTGAGACGAGCGTGGGCTACAAAGTAAGCTCAAGACCAGCCTGAACTGCATAGTGAGACCTTGTCTCAAAAAAGACCAAAAAAAAAAAAAAAACAGAAAGGACAGGTCCTGGGTCAGGTCTCCAGTGCCAAACTCACAAAAAAAGAAGCCCTACTTGGGAACGCAGTATCGGCAGGCGACCTTGGTGTAGAGCTACAGAGTGGTATGTCTAGGGAGTCTGCCTCAGTTTCCACACTGAGCAGTGTAAGGGAAGAAAATGAAGCATAGTATAAAAGTCTGCCTCTTCCTTGATGTGTGTGTAGACACAAATTTTATATGGATTTTGGTTTTCCATTTTTTTCAACTAGGAGTCGAACTCAGGACTTCAAAGTTGCCAGGCAGGTATTCTGCCATGGAGCTAAATCCCTGGCCCCAATTTCCATAATTCGAATCCTACTCAGCTCTCTATAACTTCTGTCATGTATATGTGGAGGAGCATGTGCCCTTTTCATGGCCTCATGATGTTCCACGAGATGGCCAAACCACTATCTTTCACCCTGTTGTTTCCTAATGAGAGAGTTTTGGATCAGGGCTGTATTTTCCCCAATATCCCTGAAGCCCTGGATCATGTGTCTTCATGAGCACATATGACTCTCTTCACCGATTTACAGCCCTGGCCCCCAGTGCCCTTTTACAATTTTGAGTGAAGTCTTGCTAAGTTGTAAAGTTTCCCAGGCTGGATTTCAACCTGTGATCCTAGTCCCTGGGCCTCCCGGAGTGCTGTGCTGGGGTCACAGGTGTGCACCACGCCACCTGGCTTGAATGTGATTATTGTAAATCTCGTTGTTCAAGCTGGATGTCTTTCACAGTGAGTTTATTCTCCCACCAGTATAGCATCCAAGTGGCTGTTTCTCCACACTTTGGCTCCTCTATGATTTTTATCCACATTTGCATTTTTACACAATAAGATGGAGAGAATCTCATCCTTTAAAAAAAAAAGTGCCACCCCCCCCTTGCTAAATTTGACTGGCTTAAAAAAAAAAAGTGATGTGGTTTATTGAGGATTTCTCTTTTGATTCTACCTTTGTCTTTCCGGATGATCAAGGCTTAGTGAGTGCTGGTCCTGCCTCCTATTGGTCTCCTGGCCCCAGCAGGCTCCTGGGCCTGTGAACTCATCTGTGAAATGAGGCCTTTTAATCCCTGTAGCCCTGCCCACTGCTAGCTGCTGTGTGCTGTGCCTGGGAAAACATTCCCGAAGGTTTGTTTTAGGCTCAGAAGTTCTGTAAACATGGGATGCATGGCTTTAATAGCAGAAGTCCAGGATCTGAAGACCGAAGGTGTAGGTGAATTTACCCACAGCAGGTGCGGGGTGAGTTCGCTTACTGGAAGCAGTGGTGGCTCTAGCTGAGGCCCTTACCTGGCCTGAGAGAGACTTGGCTCTGCTGGCCCAGGGTCGGCTACCTCCTGTCCTCCTGCAGGAATGAAGGGGAGAGCCAGCAGGACGGGGAGAGAGAGTTCCCTAAACTGTCCTGAAAAGGTTCTGAAGGGGACCCCCGCCTTCACAGACCTGGTTAGCTCCTGTTGATAGAGGATGAAGTTTGCAGCCCGGAAACCTCCTGAGTGCCCATGTGTGTTACCTTGGGATCCTTGTTTGTTTCCTGTAACAGGAAGCTTTAAAACAAGCAGAAAACTTCCAGAAAGGGCTTTTGTGCTGGGTCTGGAGTGGGAAGGAGTGAGAGGAAGCTGTGAGGTGGGTGGAGAAGGAGAGAGGGAGGTCTCTGGCCGCCTGAGGCCCTGTGATAGAGTAGGGCCCCTGGAGGAAATGATTGTCGCTGAGCCCCAGAGCCCCAGGTGCCTGGGGACTCTAGGCAGGCTGGCCTGTCACCTCCCAGGCCTCCCAAGGCCTGTCATGCCTTGTAGAAGCGGCACCCAGCCTGGCTGCAAT